CTGAATGAAGTCCGGGAGGGGCTCATTCGACTCTCGCACCGGACAGACCGGTAAGGGTTCAGCATTACTAGTTGTCGAACCCTCGGATGATGATCCGCTGTGTGGCGTGTTCGCCATCTGAGTACTGGTCTGTGGCGGTTGTAGAACTGTAGGTTGCTGTTGCTGTTGCTGTTGGCGATCGGCGATCCGCTTGCTGCGTCGTGGCTGCTGTTCGGAGGTTGGCCCTGCTGACATCAGGAACTGTTGCTGAAGGCTGGCTCGTCCGGAGGATCGCAGAACAGTTTGAGGGGGGGGGGTCGGGCACAGGGATGGAACAGATCAAGCAATATACATGCAGTCCCTGTCCCAAGGATGGACTAAGACACCTAATCAAACAGAAAAAAAGAAATTTTCCAATAAACAATTCGAAAATTCGTAATAAGAATAATAATAATGAATTATTTAATCAATAAATTTAATTAATGATTAATACGAAAGAATAATTCTTAAGGATAATCAATAAACAATCTTTGCAATAATGATTTCCTAACGATAATCAATTAAAACAATCTTTGCAATAATGATAATGAACGAATTTTGAATTGTATTAAGATCAGGTCTCTTTGAGATCAATTTCGGTCCGGGAGTTCACCGTTGACTACCCAGAAGTTGCAATACTGAGGGTCAGAGTCGGATTAGTTTGCCAAAATTTTTCGGACCAAACTCTGGAGAAAAACACTCGAAATCCAAAAAACGTGAATTTTTGGGAATTTCCACCATCAAAATCCGATTCTAAAAGGCCAAAACCCGTTTTCGGAAGTTCTCAAACAAGGGGAACGGAAGAAAAAAAAATTCGCGAAAATTTCGGTCCCAACCCTAATTTTCCGCGTTTCGGCGGAATTTCCGGATTTACGGTCCCAAAACGTTCGAATTTCCCCCAAGTTGATCTAAAACCAAAAGATTTTCGTAACCCTAATTTCCAATACTGAAAGACAACGAAAATCCAAAAGAAAACGAAATATAGGATTTACAACAGAATGACGAAAAACGGAATGCTGAATGGAAAGCAGAAAAGCCGAATTTCAACATGATACTGATTCAACCCTAATACGTGTAAAATCAGAAATCCGAATCTTAACCAATTATCGGATTAGTATCACTCAATCGGAACCCAAATAAACAGCATACCGGGAGAAAACAGAAATCCGAATTATAAGTCCGAATACCGAATTGAAACGGAAATGCCAGAATAAATAGAATACCGAAAAGAAAAGAAAAAAATTGCAACTTTGAACTTGATAGTAATTCAGCGCTGATTTGGAAGATTGAAGAACAATCTAATTCCTAAATCAGTCTTACCTGGTGAGCAGATCCGTAATTGGTCTGCTCCGATACCAAAACTGTTACATACTTCAATGAGTATGGGCAGAACCAAAGATCAACCAATATAGGATGAGCATATATGCAGCGGAAGTCTGATAAGCGGACTGACTCACATAGACTGACTCAAGAATCACTCCACACACATACAATCGTGAGATGGTGGGGTCTGGGCCAAGCATGGACGATGCCCAGATCCTGTACACACATACACAGATGAAAGGTGGGAGGACAGACGAAGGAGGTGGGGGGAGGTAGACAGCACCGGTAGGTCACCAAGATGGAATCCGATAGGTCACCGATATGGTAGTCCAAAATGTCATCCAACAAGATCAAAATGTCGAGGACAATCGGTAACCAATGTCGGAGATACAGAGTCCAAATGTAACCGGTGTCCGAACTGTGATGCCGCCAAGTCTCAACCCCAACATTATCCAAGTCTCCAATCCGGTAAGTACCACAGTCTCATACCACCGAAGTCCAACACTGATCTTTGTTCACTAGTATAAGTCTCCATCTGAAGAAGAAGAAGAAGAGGAAGAAGAAGAAGAAGAAGAAGAAGAAGAAGAAGAAGAAGATGAAAAGAGAGTCGAGGAGGAGAGAGAGAGAGAGAGGGGACTGATGATGGGAGGGAGGAGAGAACCTACGGCTCCCTGATACCTCAGGCGGCGATGGCCACCGATCTGGCTCAGTCGCCCTGCTGCTGCTCCGCTCGCTGCTGCTGCGCTAATGCTGCGCTACTGCTGCCTGCTCCTCGCTCCTGCGCTAAGAATAGCGCCATCGCTAATGTGCGCTGTACCATACCGTACCGGTAGAATGCCGGTAGGTCGATACCCTCACTGAGGCTGGACCGGTACTTTTGTACTGGTGGGCAGAGGTCGGCCTCTATGCTGCGAGGCCTGACCGTGCCCTGAACCGTCCAGATGGACGGTTCAGCCCCAACCGGCGGGCGGCAGCCTCAAGAGCGCCGCCAGGCCCAAACGGTAATATCGTTTGGGCCGGCCCATCGGGTCTGGTCCAAGGTAAGGCCTTTACGGACTGTAGTACCCCCAAGGTCGGGCCTTTGGCCGTACTGTGTCCCTCTACCCCTACGTCGGGTCCGGTAGGACCCGTGTGGCGTCGAAGATGTAACACTTGGTCTACAAGTTCTTCAGAGGGTGCTGGCATCAGCCTTGTCTCTGTAGAGTTGTAACCAGCGATAATGGACTTCCGAACATAGACCAAGACAACACTAAATACACAGGCGATGACTCTATAACCACGGCTAGTGGCAGCCCCAGCTGTGTAATGACAGAGGCGGCACTACAGCGCTGCAACAGTGCCAATGGATGTCCAAACCTACACGAACATGGCGGAAAACTTCACGGGCGGTGGGATGCTGAAGCCGCACTTCACTTCTTTGGAGGAGTGCGCTGAAGCAGGAGTACGCTTGCGGACCCTGGCTTCGATTCAAAACATGCACGTTGCAGCCAAGGCCCAAGCTTTATTTTGGCGAGTATAAAAAAAACAGCAGAAGAAGGGTAAGTTTCAAAAATAGTGCCTCGGGAGGTCAAGATGTCCTGATAATACTCCAGGGCATAGGTCCCTATCGTTGCTGAGTCTGTTGCCAGGTCCGCCTGTGGGAGAAAAGGATGAAGAAGCTCCCTAAATAGAGTGTGGGAGCGGGGCAGACAGATTCTCTCGAATGCCTCTTTGGTCATTCGATCGCCGCAGGCCATCCCTCTCTCCGCTGCTCACCTTGCCCAGGTGGCTTGATGTTCGATCTGCAGCTCTTCCCAGCGCTGTGTCCAGTGCTCCCTTCGTCTTTCCCAATACAGATTAACCAATGGCTTGCTCTCCAACATCTTCTCAGCTTCCATGATGTGCTGCCTTGACCTCCCGCAGACCTCCACAACAGACTCTCCATCAGCTTCAAGAGGAAGACAATCTATGGAGATACACAGACACGAGGCTACCATCAGAGGGCAGACTGAACCTGGATCGTCCGGTCACTCTGGACGAGCGTACTGAAGCATTGAAGGCCATGGCTCCAGGCAAAGGCCCAGGACGGCCTACCGGCAGAGTTCTACAGGGCTACATGGGACCAAACAGGCCCAATCTTGGCCGACCTTTTTAACCACATCCTCGAGGGAGGACATCTCACGGAGGATATGAAGACTGGTGTTATCACTCTTATCTACAAAAAGGGAGACAAGAGGAACATCCGCAACTTCAGGCCAATATCACGGCTGAACGTCTCTTACAAGCTATTGGCGAAGGTTTTGGCCAGAAGATTAGCAACCTACTTACCTGGGTTAGTTCACGTTGAACAAGGAGCTTTCGTTCAGGGCCGATCCATTGCTGAAAACATTCTTTTTGCCATGGGTGCCCTGGAAATTGTGCAGAAGGAGAACCGCCAGATCATGATCGCTATGCTTGACCTCGAAAAGGCTTACGACCGGGTCAACTGGTCTTTTGTGCTGGCCACTCTGGAGCACATGAATTTTGGACTGAGCTTCAGAAGGTGGGTCGCGGAGCTATACACAGATTCGGCGGCCACAGCCTTAATCAATGGATTCCAGTCACCAGTCTTCTCCCTGACGCGCTCTCTGAGGCAAGGATGCCCTTTGGCCTCCCTCCTGTTCGCTGTCCAGATCGAAGTGCTCCTCAACGCACTGCGGAAAACACCTGACATCCGAGGTCTACACTTGGGTGGTGCTCAGTCCCTGTCCACAGGCGCCATTGCTGATGACTTGCTGCTGGTCTCTGAAGCCGAGGCACAATCACTGCGCCAAATCAAGGCACTTCTGGATTCTTATTCAGCACTCTCAGAGGCGCGGGTCAACTGGAACAAGTCGCTCTACTTTCTACCAAGCGACTACAGCCTCGAAGAGGACTGGGGCATGAAGAGAATCGGTAACAATGCTTCAGAGAGATACTTGGGAATCCAAGTCTCTCTCACCTCATCTCGTCGCACCCAAGATGCACTGCTGTTAGCCAAGTCACGAGCCAAGCTCCGTGTTTGCAGCAGCGCCATAGGCTTCTCCCTCTTCGGGAGAGCCATGATGGTAACAGCAGCAGTGTTTGCGCAACTTTGGTATGTAGCGGCTGTCTACATTATCTCCAAGCCAACCACTACACAACTGAGAAGGGACGCGGCTAGGTATATCTGGAAACCTCATGCGGACAAGGGAGAAGGCTTCGTCACGAAATGCTCCTGGCAGAAAGTCACACAGGCTAAGCAGCAAGGAGGACACGGCATCCTTGACCCTGCCACCCAGAATCTTGCTATCCTCTTCAAGTGGTTCATCAGAGCTTGCACTCAAATGGCTTGCAGTGTTTGAATATATAGCACAACAGGAGTTCAATCTCGCTAGACCCCGTGATATTTGGGTCTGCCTGCTGATGGATTCCTTTGTCCGCAGAAGACCT